GGTCCACAGCTTCCCGGGGGACGGCCTCAGTCAGGTCCACGCTCCACCGGGACACGGCCTGAGCATGGCGAGGCTCCTCCCGAAGACCTGAGCAAGGGCCCACGCCCTCCCAGGAGACGGCCTGAGTAGTGTCCAAGCTCCCCCGGAAGACAACAGTCCACGCCCTCTGAGAAGATGGCGTGTGAGTCGGAGCAGAGAAGGAGTTGAGAGAATGAGAGCAAAGCTTCCGAGTGGCAGAGAGAGCAGCTGCCTTCAAGGTCAGGCCTGGGAGGGCTCAGGTTCGGTGCCTACGGGTCCGGGGGCAGCAGTGCGTGTTCTCCTGGCATAAGGCTCACAGGATTATTTTTAATAAATGGCTGCGGCAGTGGGCCAAGCGTCCTGCTCCCTGGGGAGAATGTCTGAGGGTGGAAGCACTTGTTCAGCATGAAAGATGGAGTCTCACGCTACAGGGAGGGAAGGACCACCTGAGAAGGGTCCAGGGCTGGCTGGGACCCCACCTCATTGGCGCTGGCTGGGGGGGGGGCGCCTGCCGGGAATCCTAAGGAGACCTGAGCTGATGGAAATGGGCCCTGCGCCGCCTTCCCATCCGGGCAGGAGCCTGTGGGAGAAGGACCAGCTGGCCACAGAAGACAGCGCAGAAGACACCAGGCCAGCGCCTACGATACCAATCTAACGTCTCGTTCACAAGTGTGTGTATTCAGACGAGAGCCATGAGCAGGACACGGGAGAAAGACCACGAGAAACAGAAAACCACTGCCCCTGGCCTGGAGGACACGGGCCAGGGCGTCTCCTCAGAGGAGTTGAACAGAAGTTACAGCTACAGAACGAGAGGCTCCCCCGGAAGACACAGTCCACGCCCTTTATGAAAAAGGAAGAATGGAGGATAAGTGAAAGACTCAAATAATGAAAATAGGTTGCAAAAATTAGGACGGAAAGGCAGTTGATGAGCTGTAGGATAAATTTAAGAAATCTCCAAAAACATTGAGTAAAAGAATGAAGAGACCAAAATTTAAAAAGTAAAAGCAGAAGATTAATACAGAGTATTGAAAATTTAACAGAAATGTGTGTAAATGAAGGAATTCTTAACACAAATGACATGAAAATATACGAATAGCTTAAATATGTCAAGAGAGGTGAATGGCTCATACCTAAACATATTCTTAAATCCAAATTAAAAAAAGACCTTTCCCCCTCCCGGGTAGGGATGGGTGCTGGTCACTGCAGAGAAAATGTGAGGCAGGTCAGAAATATTGGATAAAAAATAATGGAAACATTGCTTCAAAATACTGAGGGAAAATAATTGAAAGCTTAGAATTCCCCACCTGGGAACCTATTGAGACGGATGAGAAGCAAATCAAGGCATTTTGAGATGTGGGAATATTCACAAAGTTGATCTCCCATTGTAGATGATGCTTCTTGAGGAAGCTCTGTATGAGGGGAGACAAAGCAGGGAAGAAGACAATGATCTCGGAGACGGTGTCCCACTGGAAGAGCAGGACGCGGGGTCTGCAGAGCATGTGCCTCGGTGGGCCTGGATGGGGAGTTCTCTGGGAGAGAGGCAGGTACCCTCTGCAAGATGCTTCCCTAGAGGCCTCGTGACAGCATGTATGGTAAAGCACAATCTTCCTCTCTCTTCTTTTTCAGTAAGAAAAAAGAAGACATTCCGGGAAAAAAAAAAGCACAGTATTTCAAAAGTGATATAAGCAAGTCTAGCAACACACGTGAATCAAACTTAAACACAACACAACTTGGAGCTGGGGGTGGAGGCAGAGCCTCTGTGTGTCCTGACGCCAGGCAGCCAGGCTCCCTTTCCAGGGGAATTGTCCTGGGAAGGTTGAACGTGGTTCTGCTTGGCTCTGTGGTGGAAATATCTACAATACTCTCATCAGATAGATGCTGTTCAGCTCTTACAATCACTCAAAAGACAAAATAGAGAAGACTTAATTATGGGCATAAGGAAGGATATAAATACCAGTGATGATGGTGTAAAGATGTAACATGTAATTGGGAGAAGCTGGCTAGTGGGGAAGGGGCTGAGGGCTGCCACCTTCAATGCACAGAACGGAGTGAAACCACACCTTCTAAATTTGATGCAATGAGAAATAAAGGTTTATTATCTATAATTGTGCATTACAAACAATAGTGGAAAATGAAAAAGTATCAAATGTTAATAGTATGAGTCAATAGATGTTATCTAGAACTGAAAATCTAGAAATATAGAAGCAATATAGTACTTAGAGTCACAAGAACAAAATTTAAAATGGTTAGAGGTGCCTTCTGAGAGTGAAGGGGAGTGAGGGGTGGAGTGGGAGAATATGGCTTTTCATTCAGAAGTTCTTCAGAATCTCTACCATATGACTGCATTAATTTGATAAAAATAAAAACTTCTGTTCATAAGTATATATTTCTCTGATTATATTTTTCATAATGGCAAATAAATGGTCTCTGATTCATAAACAGAACTTTCAGGAGCTAATTAATGTGAGTGAGTTGGCATCCCATCCACTGGAGTGGCAAATCAAATTGTGTTTTATTTCAAAATAAGTTTAATTTTAAAACATTGTGACATATACAGCAACTAGAACAAGACACATTACTCTGAGAATTTCTTAGGCATTTGCTTGAATAACTGAACTAGAATTAAGATGAAATGGCACATCAACTTTAAGTAAATGAGTATCTAAAAATGTATTAGTAATTTTGCACATTTCTAATTTTTTAAAATCAATGTTTATCTCTTTACAATAGGAAAGTAAATTTCAGCAAGTTATTCTTCAGCATTCAGAAGTCACTAATTAGTGAAGCTCTACCTTGTGAAGTCTCATTTTCATATAATAAGTTTAATTCATGTAGATAAATTGCCTACACATACAGCATTGTATTCACTGGCAACTCAGAAGTATCATTTCCCCAGAAGCCTCTGTAAAACATTACTATTTTCCACATGAAGTTTGAGAGTAGCTTCCAAAACTTGCCAGATTTGTTTCCCAGAAAGATGGAAAGATATCGGACAATCATAGTTCTGGAGCCGAGAAATGCTAAAAAATTACTTTCCAAGTCATACTGACTTATGCTTCTGGGGCTGGAAGTGCATTGCACAATAAGGAAGTCAGGGTGGCTGGTTCCCCTCCCCTCCCCCTTCTACTCCCTCCCCCAACCCTCCCTCCTTTCCTTTCAGACCAGGACACTAATTTAAACTCAGTTATTTAGAAACCTGTAGCAGAAATCTCTGTAACACTCCACATTTTAAAATTTACCAAAGTTTTGTTTATATGGACCAACAACTCTGTGTGTACATAATTCTTTTATAGTTCTTTTATATTAGATTTAAATTATTCTTTATGAACCATTCCCCACTGGAATATAAGAGCCACAAGGGTAAGTGTTTGGTCTCTTGTTCTCTGCTGTTTCCCCAGAACTTTGTATGCCAGGCACTGACTAAATAATTTGTAAATGAAACAGTGCCATTACCAATAATTAACTAACACTTACATGGTACTTGCTATGGGCTAGGTAACTTTCTAAGAGCTAGAAATACATGAACACATTTAGCCTTCAAAATAACCTCATCAGGTAGGTGTTGCTGTTATCCCTGTTTTAAAGGTGAGAGAACAGAGTACCAGCAAGGCTCAGTGGCTGGCCATGAGTCGCAGGGCTCTGTGCAGGTGGGGCTGGATTCTGTGCTAGGATGATGCTTTTGGCCTGCCAAACTCACTGCTCCCTTAGTGAGACTGCTGTACCCTGAGTGGGAGCCGTGTCTCTTCCTTGCAGCCCCGTGGGCCTACAGAGCAGTGCCCAGTGTATGGCGGTGCCCAGTTGATGGCTGCATGCTGGAGGATGAAGGAATGGTCACCTCCAGCAGGGATGAGCTTGGTGGAGGTGAACTCTTAGCCCTCAATGTAGAACATTCCTAATTCCACAAAGAGGCAGATGTCATCTGTGTCTCAAAGGTGGGGCAGGTGCTGGTGGTCAGGGCGGGTCTGGTATATTTATATACTGCATGATCTATTTATAAAACAACTTTACCTTTCAAAGCATCCCATATTCTAGATCTCACCCAGTTACATTGTGAGGAAGCAGTTTCATTTTCATTTTACCAGGAGGCCCACACTGGGAAGATTACACAGCCAAGACATGGCACTAGGTGCTGGGTTCCAATATTCCCACACCCAGTAAGATTGGAGAGGACCCTGCTGGCCCAGCATGGCTGAGAGCCATGCCAGTCATCTGGTCCTTTATTTTTCAATATAAATATGTTTGTGTGTCAGGTCGATGGTCTTTTTCCGCCTTAGATTTTGCCGGCACATGCAGAGCAAGCGTGTGTGTGAAACTTAATCCCAAAGTCAGTTACTATTTTACTGTAACGACTCTCAAGTGTATGAGTGTAATGAGTGTGACGAGGAGGTCATTACACAGTTGTGAAAAACTTTGGAAATGGAAATGGTTGAATTCAAATAACCCGCTGGCTTGTTATTAATGGGTTGGTGGCTTGTTATTTCCACAGTGCTGACTCATCAAATTTAGCCCTCATTCATTTTCCCCCATCCTGGCTGACTGGAGATGCCGCCTCCTTGGCTCTCAGCATGCCCCTCGCGGCTGGGTCACTCGTATTTCTTAGAGTGGAATTCCCTCCCTGGGTGTTTGGGATGGGGAATCTTGGCAGAAACGAGAGCGTTCCGGGGTGGGTTACACCCCAACGAGAAGGACTCAGGACTCTCAGGAGACTTAGGTTCTCCGGAATGGACTGGCCAGGCCCCCCAGAGATGGGGGATGTTTGTGCAGAGCTGGGTCCTGGCAGCCTAATCACAGCACCATGGTCAGGATGGCTTTTCCTGCTAATACGCTCTGGTCACTGATCTCTGTGTATCCTATAATATTTTGTCTTTCTTTGTCACAGCTTGGTGTGGAAGAGAGAGCCTTTTGGCCTCCAAGATCAGGTAGATGCTAATGCTCCTTTCTTTAGAGATGAAAATGCCCACAGGAAAAGAGGAGGTGGCTACCTTTGGTCATGACGATTCCTGCCAGAGCTTTGTGGCGGGCGTGCATGGGCGTGAGGTCCATCGTCACCTCGCGGAACTTCTGTGTGACCAGCTGGGATATGGAGTCTGCAAATTCCTGAAAGACACAAGCACAGGCCTCCACGTTGGGCTAAGCAGGTGCCGCAAAGGATGATGGGCACTGTCCTCCCCATCCTCAGCCTCATCCCCATGTGGCCACACTTGGGCCTGCTCTCCTCCCCTTCTCACAGCCTTGTCCCCCCCTAGCCACACGTGGCCTCTCTCTGGCTGTGCCCCCAAAACTCAGAATCATATTGAGTGGCTTATGAGTGGTTAACCTCAGTGTTGCTCTCAGCAGAAACCCTGAGCTCTGCCGACCTCCCCATGGAAACAGTGTCCACTTCCCTCTCCCTGCCTCTCAGAGCAGTGGCTGGAGGAGTCTTTCAGGGAGGAGGAGGGGATTTTTACAGGGATGATGGGCCACCAGTCTTCTGAGTATTCCAGAGCCAGTGTCTACACAGCTGGCAGTCTCAGGCTGCTCTCCTGGCTAAATGGCTGGCACTGTGGCTCACTCCACAACCTCTTCTCACCTTCCTGCACATGCACCAGATGCACACATTCACATGCAACACACAACGCACCTAGGGCACACATGCACACAGGAATATGCACACACAGAGGTACACGTGCGTATGTGCACACACATGTACACACATACAGGTGTGCCCCTGCACACTCCTTAACATAATTTGATGAGTGATAAGGCGACTGCTGGTCTCTGGAAAGGCAGCACACACAGTAGCATGTGGCAGCCAGTGTGTGGCTCTGTGGCCACCCTTTCCCTGGCTCCTCTGGGCCAAGGCTGCAGCACTGCCTTTTCCTTGACGTGGGGCCCCAAGCTTCTCACTGGGGGCAGTATGGCTGGCATAGCTGTTGCAGGCCTTGGAGTAGGGAAACCTGGTTGGGCCCTCAGTTCTGCCACTCAGGGGCCTGGGTGAGTCATTAACACCTCAGAACCCATTTTCCTAATTTACAAGCGAATCATCTTCATTTCCACCTTATGGTGTTTTTGTAAGGATTAAATGCAATACGGCATCTTAAGTGCTCAGCGCAGTGCCCCACACTTGGTAGGAAGTGCTCAGAGATGACGGCTGTGACCGTTACTCTTACTATTTTCATCATTATCATCGTCTGCCCCAGTCACCACAGGCATTGCCCGAGCCTCTGAGCAGCCACATCAATTCATCGTCTCATCCATGAGGCAGGAAACAGCCCCTTTTTCTGACGGACCGGGTTTCCGCGTTTCCACCAGGCATGTGCTGATGTTGATACTGTGCAGTGTTTGGGCCCAGTTTCCACATTCCCACCAGGCGTGTGCGGACGCTGATGCTGTGCAGGCGTTGCTGCTGATAAGGACAGCTCTCTGATTAATAACGATAAGAAAGATAGACAGTGTTTAAAAATCCCACTTGTAGGCAATAAAACATGTTTGTGTGAAAACAGCCCTGCCTGCCAGAAGCGAAAAACCTGCCACAAAACAACCTAGCCCCTCTCCTTCTTAATTCTTCTGCAGTAAAGGGCAGAAGTGCAGGGCCCGGTGCAGTCTCCTCTGCTCACCGCCGGGTTTGAGGGCCCCGAGCCACTGTAGCCCGTAGGTGATGTCAGCTCGTTTTCCCACTGTGCCGTGAATCAATACGGAAGCCCCACATAGGACAGATGGCAGATGAGCTAGGCTTCTCCTGAGGGGCGCAATGCTGGCCTGAGAGGGAGATGGGACCCCGACCTTTCAGGGACTGCTGTGCGCCTGGAGTCTTCCTGGGTGCTCCCGGCCCAGGCTGCTCCCGGCTGTCCTGTCTTTCATGTCTGGAATCAGGTCTAGAGAGGGAAACCTGTGTCCTGGACACCCCATGTGCTGTGTCCTGGAGCTGCTGGAAAAATACCCTTAACTGGGGGTCTTTAAACAGCAGGCATTCATCCTCCCACAGCTCTGGAGGCAGAAATCTGAGACTGAGCTGTCCAGGGACCGTGCTCCCTCCTGTGGCTCTGGGGAGCCTCTTCCTGCCTCTCCCAGTTCCAGGACTCCGGGCGTCCCTGGGTGGTGGCCACATCACTGCAGTCTCCGCCTCTGTCCCCACGTGGCCTTCTCCTCTGTGCCTGTGTCTGCTCTTCTGCCTCTTGTAGGGACAACTGTCATTGGATTGAGGGCCCACGTGGTCAATCCAGGATGAGGCCATCTCGAAGTCCTTAACTTGAGGATATCTGCAGAGAACTTTTTCTCAGTCACCGTCACAGGCTTGGATGTGTCTTTCTGGGGCCACTGTTCAACCTGCTGCACCCTCGTTTACTCTTCCAATGCGTGCTGTCAAGGGAGAGCACAACTCTTAATTTTTTTCTTTTTCTTTGAGACAGGGTCTCTCTCTGCTGCCCAGGCTGGAGTCCAGCGGCACCATCACGGCTCACTGCAACCTTGAACTTTTGGGCTCAAACAATCCTCCCACCTCAGCCTCCCAAAGCACTGGGATTACAGGCTCCAGTCACTGGACCAGGCCCCTGTGATAACTTGGTCTTCCTTGGTGCCCAAATCACACACAGTAGCCATGAATGACATTCACAAGGTGGTTGGCAGGCGGGAGCCTTTGTGACAGTCCTTGGTCCTCACCTAGAAGGCTGGCGCTGCCCACATCTAAAGGTCAGGCCTGGCTGTGAGGTCGTCCGGCCCCTCCTGTGCCCCCCACGAGCTTGCACGCCGAGCTCTGAGCCGGGGTGGAGAAGAAGATTCAGGGGACAGAGGCCCACAGAGCCCTGGAGCCCCGAGAGGCCTCAGCTATCACCTCGGGCCTCGAGAAATCAGCTTCTGAGCACCGTGATAGCGGGCAAAGGTGACATCGGCAGCCCCATCACAGGCTCCTGCAGGGCATGCACCGCCAGTCCCATCCTGCCAGGACGTCCTGCGTCTCCCAGGGGAAGCATCCAGGCACAGGGTTGACGGGGCAGCTCTGCCTCTGGGACCAGGTGACAGGTGGGACCTCTGCCAGGCCCGGGACTTGTAGGCGCCAGCAGGTCTGGGAGATGGAGAGGCTGGTGTTGGGCCTTGACTTGGGGTGCTCATCCTCACTGGCCCGGTAGAGGGGACGGGGCACTGAAGGGCTCCCTGCTGGGCAGAGGGTCTAGAAAGCCTTGTCTGAAGCTGATGTCTGAGATGAACCTTGAAGGAAGAGTAGGAGAGCCTCCCTTTCTCAGGTGACAGAACGCAGGCTGCTCTCCCGCCGGTCGGCCCCACGGCACATGGGCAGGCGAAGGCAGCACTGATCAGCTTTACTGCACAGGCGTCCTGGACTCCAGGCATGGGGACACTTCCCCAGCCCGGGCGGTGGCCGTGGCAGCCTGGGGGCCACATCTGCCCCACGGGGTTCACTGTTGTTTCCCACTCTGGAATCCGATTCTGGGTGATTCATGGGTGTTAATGTTGATTCGAGGACAGAACTACATCTTCTGCTTCTAAAACAGCTGTTATGGTGCCAGCCATCTGATTCCAGCACCCGCTGTGCTCCGGAGTTATTCCAAATGGTGTGTGTAGCTGTTTCTTTGTTTTTTTGTTTGTTTGTTTGTTTGTTTGTTTTTTAGGATGAAGTTTCGAATGTCTAAGAAGTGATAGCTTGTCCAGCACAGGAGGACTCTCTGTGTCACTTTGTGTCTGCCTGAGGGGCTCCAGCACAGGACATCAGGATGGTCCCAGACCAATGAGTCATAACAGTGCGTGCAAAAATAGATTTCACTGTGGAAACCGAGGGAGTGCTCTGTCCTCTTAGAGATGGGAAGACACACAAACAGTGACAGCAGGGACTCATTCTGAGCAGGCGCATTACTGGCCCAGGAAAGTGCCAATATTATCCTTTTTAGCTGCTGAAGCAACGTAACCAGTCACACGGCAGGGGGTGGCAGAGACGGGAATTACCCCAGCCTTGACCTTGACCCTTGCACTGAACTAGTGACCAGATTGCTCTGAGGAAAAGCAGGATCTGAATTCAAGGATGGCCGCAGGCTTCGCTGCCTCTGGGTGCACGTTCGAGCAGCCACGGCTGGGACAGAACACGGGCGAAGGTGGCCGGCACCCTGAGAAGGCAGCGGCCCTCGGAGGGGGAGCCCATGGTGGAGCCTGGCCACCCGCTCTCCGCACCCTGCAGGCCTGCACCCCTGCCCTAGGCTCCTACTATGAACCAAGCAGCCTGAGCCTCGGCTGCTCCCTCGTGGGGTCATTTGAGGAACAGCTGGGGTGGAATGAATCACATTTGGTTTGGGCCTCAGCATTTCCACAGACGAAGGCCTCCTCGACTCACTGGGGAGGGCTTGCATGGCCAGCAGATGCCAGGTGGACAGTAATGCTCAGCCTTCTTCCAGAGTGACAGGAGCCCCTGGCTGGTAGAGACAGCCTTGAACTGACAGAGCTGAATGGAGACATTGCTGGCCGGACAGTTCCACCCACCCCAGCTGGAGGAGGTGGGAGGCACAGCTGCCAACCGGGAGGCCATGGCACTCACGTGTGCACATTCAGTCCTGCAGATGACTCCAGGCAGCGGCCATGGCACCCTCAAGGACAGGGCACTTTCTCTCCCCAGGTCCACACATTTCCGACTCCACAGCCCGTTTCTTTCTTTCTTTCTTTTTCTTTTCTTTCTTTCTTTTTTTTTTTGAGATAGAGTCTAGTTCTGTCACCCAGTTGGGACCTCAGTGGCCCAATCTCAGCTCACTGCAACCTGCACCTCCCAGGTTGAAGCAATTCTAGTGCCTCAGCCTCCTGAGTAGCTGGGACTACAGGCGCGTACCACTGTGCCTGGCTAATTTTATTTTATTTTGTATTTTTTAGTAGAGATGGGGTTTTGCTGTGTTGGCCGGATTGGTCTAGCATGCCTGACCTCAGGTGATCCTCCCACCTTGGCCTCCCAAAAGTGCGGGGATTACAGGGGTGAGCCACCACACCCCGTCCTTTTTTCTTTTTTAAAATATCAACTTATATTTTGGGTTCAGTGGGTACATGTGCAGGTTTGAGTGATGCTGAGGTTTGGTGTACGAGTGACCCCAGTAGTGAGCACAGTACTCGGTAGTTAGTTTCTCATCCCC